TTATTGTTAGTGGTTTAATGTCTTAGTTATTGTTAGGATCGGTTTAATGTAGTGGTTATTGTTTGGAGTGGTTTAATGTCTTAGTTATTGTTCGAATTGGGGGTTTGTGCCTTCTTTATTGTTAGGATTGGTTTATTGTATTGCTTATTGTTAGAATTTTGTTTGTGTCTTGTTTATTGTTAAGATTGTTTTTTCATAGTCTCTGATATCAAACTCCTAAGGTGGAAGGAAAGAAGGAAAAAACACAGGATACTCAATTAGCTACATAGAATATTCCTGAACTACTTTGTTTTGTACAAAATCAATGCACAAAGACCTTCATAGCAGCAAATTACTTCCTTTATTGTAAATGTGGCAACGACTTTAACCACAATCCAGTAAAGGTGTTCCATGGTTCTCCATTTCCTTCAGAGACAAAAAGTCACCCCCAAGGAAGTGGGTGGTACTGACAAGCAGCACAACTGGCTTCCAAATATGGTTGCTTTTTTCTTACTGTAAAATTTGCTGGCACAAAAGTCTTCATACTATGATTTCAGCCAAAACATAAGAGAAAATGTCACTGGCAGAATGGATAAACATCATAATAATAGAGATTTATTTTTATTTTGTTTCTCTTTGAAAAGACTTTTGCTATTGCTTCTATTAGGACAGCTATAGCAAGCTATAGAAACTTTGCTCTTACTGCATATACAACAGATACAGAGTGTATGAGAAGTTTCTTTTTCAAAATAATTTATTACATTTTTAGCTGAAAAAAATGCATTTCTTCCCCTCAACAGCAGAGGAGTGAAGATTTTATGGTTAGATCTTGCTGGGTCAGCTAGATCTCACTCCTTTAGTAATATGGTTCCAGGCTGCAATCTTATTATTATGAGGGTTTTTTAGGGGAGCATTTATTAATGCAACTTCCCTGAAAAACAAACAAAGAAATGATCAAAAGAAACCTCCCAAACAAGAAACAAACCTTAAGCATCTAGCAACTAGATTCCTTTATATTAATAACAACAACAACATAGATTCAAATAAAACTCAACTACTTTTAGATTTAATTTCACAGACAGGAACTACAAAATGATCAGGCATCAAGCAATTTTCATATGCACAGGGAATAATACAAATGCCATATTTCTTGATTTATATACCATGGTATATGTTTATATACCATGAAGAAACAAATGATTCTGCTTTCTGGATTAGAGCCTTGAATGGTTTAAGCAATGCAGAGTGTAGCCATTGCTCTTTCTTGTGCCAGCCAGCTGCACTAAGCCCAGAAAAGGTTCTCCTTCACAAAAAGCAGTGCACACACCTTTCCAGCCTGGAAAGTGCTTTTCCTGCAGAGCCAACCAGTGGATTGTTAAATTTTTGATGCTACAATAACGCTGTCAAAGCCTTCAGGCTGATGTCGATGATAAGATTTACAGTAGCCTTAATATTTATTGAAAGAAACTAATTGTAATTATAAACACCTAAGAAAATAATTTTATTTTTCTGTATGGTTTTTTTTGTTGTTATTATTATATTTATGACTTTAAAAAAATAAGAGAGACAGCACTGCCCTGGGGTTGCATCATAGCTAGAGGCTGACATGTTCCACAGGAGAGGTAAATCCACCTCTGATACCATAATGTGGAGCCTTCTCCTCTTCCTCCCACCTTGCATGGGCTTGCACCTCATCTGTCAGCTTTCTGATTATACCATGGAATGGAACTAGGGCTCAGGTTTGGAATGTATTTCCAGGATTCAGTCTATGGGTTTTGAGTACTTTCAGATGCAAGCCTCCATTTTTAACTGCTGAGCAGCCTCCTAAAATGGATGTTTATAATAAAATTGAACATTTTCAGCTTGTATAACTTAATTACATTAAATTACAATGCATTAGTATGATGTAGAGGTACATTTCATGGGTGATAATGGTTGTTTTCCATTAATGTGTCCTAATCATCAGCAAAGCCTTGCTCACACTGATCTTTAAACCTTTTGGAAGCAGTTGATGGTAATGTACAAGGCCAGGGGCACTTACAAGAAAACCTGCTCTTTGTTCACAATCTGAAAGCACTGCTTAAACATTAAGGGTTATTATACAAGATCTGATGATCTGTTAAAATATGGATTAAAAAGAAGATAATATCAAAGAGAGTTAACTTTCAATAAAGTCAGTGTTGTCACACCAGTTTGGCTGTCAAACAGGACATTTCCGCTATTCTAATTATGAAGGACTAGTTATTTAGTTGTTCATTTTTAGTATGGGTCTATATTCTTTGGGTCTACAGCAAAGTAACAACACACCAAGCCTGACTCTTTCTCCAGGAGTCTTTACAGCCGATACTAAAGCTTCATTAAGCTTTTGTCCTCCTCAGAGTGTCCAGCTGCATATTCTGCTGCAGTAAAATAGTGATAATATCACTAAATACTTTGTATTACAGAAAAATATGTAATATCACAAGAAATGGGTAATAAAACTTAATTCAGCATTATGAAACTTAGAATTACAAGTGTTTCTTCATTCTCAAGATGCACAGTAGAATTTCATGCTGCCCTAGATATTCATAGACTTTGAACCTTTAACCACTGCAATTTATACTTGGCCATTTGCATTTCACTCCAGGGGCACATTTGTGCTGTGAGCAGCACAGTGCAGAGACAGTGATTTTTGGCTTAGGTGACTTTGTGCACCCAGCGCAGAAGTGAATCCTGCAAACACAAATTCATGGCATGAAAGTGTGTAGTGATGGAATCAAATGGCACCTCATCCTTGGACAGATGTGTCTAGTTCCAGTTCCAGGCTGGAACCACTAAAAAGCTATTATGGGTAAAAACATAATGTCAGGCCACAAAATCAACTTAGCCCCACCTTCCCAAGTGTTCAAAGTATTCATTACAGAGGTTAAAAGGATGAATTTCTAATGCTGGTAGTACTCACTTTCTATTTTGAAGTAATTTTCTTTTCCTTATCGTCTTCCCCCAGCAAGTGTGACACATACTGTCTCTGACTCCATTAAACCCTTTTAAAACCTCTGATAAAAATCATGAGGTCATTCTTTTTAGCTTTTTCTCTATTGTGTCTCTCTATTTGTACCTCTTAACATTTTTTAAAGCCATCACTGAGCTATGAAGCCAATTGTCTGGTCATTTTTCACTCAGCTGCCTGGCAAAATTATTTTTGTATATTAGCTACCAAAACAGAAGTATTCTTTCCCAGCTCTCTGCTGTGTGAATTTACACAGACAGTCTTTACAGCATTGCTTTGGGAATTCTCTTACTCCAACATGCAAATGCACCAAGCCTGGCACAGGGGCCTTATTTCTGCCAGTTCAGCATATGCAGAACTGTACATCCACTTGTCCAAAGCCTTCTGGAGGCAGAAGGGGTGTGTGGGTGTCAGTAAGTGGGTCTGTGTCAAGTCTCCTGTTAACTTGAGGTCCCAAGTGGAGGTAACAACACAGAATCATTGAGGTTGGCCAAGACCCTTAAGAGCTTTGAGTCCAGCTGCACTTCCAGAGGCACATGAGTCACTGCACCATGTTAGGGCCTGGCCCAGGCTTTCAAGTCCTATTCAGCCCCACTTAGGGCCTGTGGGAGCAAGGGAAAATCTCTGGAACCGACCAGCACAGCTACAGCCCCTGCAGCTGAACCACTGTGCCAGTATCAGTTGCCCCTGTACACAAAAAGAAATGGACATGAAAGGCATCTCTTTTAGTAAAGGAGGACAAGACAGGCTAAGCAAGGCTATCACAGGAGCAGGAGGAAGAGGCAGAACAAGAGATATCCAGTTGATCCCTATCCCTGAGTGAGCTGCAGGAGAGATGGAAATATTTCAGCCACCATCCAAGTAAGCACATTGTCACCTGGCTGCTCTGATGGTGGGATAATGTGACTAGCGGTTTGGAATCGAAGGATAATGAAGCCAAGCAGCTGGGGTCACTTTCTAGAGAAGCAGGCATCAACAAAGCGATTGGAAGAGAATGACTTGTGACATTGACTTGACTAATGACATCCTTGTGCTCTTTGCAGAGGAGGAGGTGAGAGTGCTGAAGACCTACCCAATATAATAAACAATCTGAAAGTGAGAAACATTATGCCTTGCTTAATGATGCATCCTTGTACTGTAGGAAAGCAGGAGAGAGGGAAAGTGGCTGTACAAGTTGTGGAAAATGCTTTTACTATTATTGTTGTGTTTATTGCAATTTTTTCAGCAAATTGTGACTCCATCTTATAATCTCTCCTAGTATTTTTTCCTCCAGTATTGAAATGGGGCAGTTTGAGTGGGCTTGGTTTTCCCATTGAGTTTTAAAACCAGCACAAGGGGTAAATGCATCTGGGCTGGCACATTGTGGCGTGGTATTGTTGCCTGGGTGGAGAACCTGTTTGTAAAGGTGAATCATGTTCATGTACACGGGAGTTGGGTCAATGAAGAACACCCGAATAATCAACAGGTGTCTCCAGCTGCTAACAGTGAAGTGGATTTGGATTGGCAATATAAGGATGAGTAATTTCTGTCTCAGTGGGCCTGTGACAGCTTGGGTCATCAAGGAGGAGATGCAACATATAAATGGGCTCATGATCGAGGGGCGGACTTAACCATGGACACTGTCACACAGGTGTCTTGGGTTTACTAGCCCTCCCCTGGAACTGAAGATGCTTAGTTCCAGGTGGATTTCCTCGTGCTAAGCCAATGAGAAGCTGTAGTAACAGCTATGCAAATTACATATTTAAGTAGCTGGAAGAGAAGGCTTGTGGTGCAGAAGAAATTAGAGCCACTAAGCTGGCAGAGGGGCCACCAGGCCCTGCGGGGGCCACCCCCCCTCCCCGGCCCTGGTCCAGGGGCAGGTG